TGTGGACCATGGAATAGGTATTTATTCCTCCAAAAGTTCTCTATACACCCAGATTTCATTTCGTGTTCAGTTTTCTTTTCCACCTGGTTCTCCAGTCGTACACTAAACCTCAACCCATGTACGATCCCCATATTTGGCCCTACATATTCCTACACGTATATACTTATATATCTATATACATATATATCTATATACATATGTATATATATATATACATATGTAAACAACGGTCCTACGACTTATAAAATCTCGCTTGCGCGAGTTAATCCCAAGGACTGCCTGCGAAGAGCAACCTCAGTGACTAATCTTAGTGGTGCTAAAGGGCAAGTGGGGCAGTGAGAAATGTTAATCATACTAGGGGCAGTCTGTATGTATGTAGGTGTCTATGCATGCATGGATGTGTGCATGTATGTATGTCTGTCTGTCTGTCTGTCTGTATGTCTGTATGTCTGTATGTCTGTATGTCTGCATGTGTGTGGATGTTATATATATATATATCTTCTGTTATATTTATATAGGTACATGTCCATATATATACACACACCTGTACATATATAGGGGTTGTATAAGAATAGTGATACGGATCCACTTCCTCACTCCCCTTTGAGCACCAGCAAGTAGCTTTCCGAGCTGAAGAGCAAGGATGCCAAGAGCCAGTACGACGATGTCTTGGGTACTGCCCCCCCCCCCTCAGTAACAGTTGGAGGATCATATAACAAGGTTATATATATATAGCCCTTAATAGGACCCCTAATATAGACTGTTACTGGGTGGGGGCAGTACCCAAATGATGTCTATCAAGCGCAGGAAGATTGACTACCGTTGCTGCCATCATACGCGCGCCGTTCCTGTACATTCCTGTACCCATTTGCGCGAATCGCTCAGAAAGTATGTAGTCTTGAACGTTACATACATTTATATATATATTCGCATATATATATATGTGTATGCATTGTCCACAATCGCTCTACAGCAGCTCGTTATATAGTCGGAAGCATTCAAGACCATCTACAGCCGCAGAACACGGTTAAAAACAGTCCGGATTCACTGGGAACCATGAACCGTTCTATTCCGAATCATTCCGAACACTTCCGAGCTGTTGGCTGCGTGTTCTCGTCAATTTTCTACTTTCCAAAGAGCTTGATACATAGCTCCAGAGATGTCATATCCAGAGCCTCTGCTTCTTTCTTCATGCATAGAAGGCCGAGCACCCCCTAAAGCAGTGGGCTTTGTTTTTTTTCGAAGCCGCAAGCAACGGTAGCCACAGTGATAATAATGCAAATAAACAAGAACAAAGAACAAAGAACAATAAGAAGAAGAGCACCCACCCTTCACAATATTCATCTGCGGCGCCATGGACTTTTTTTAATATAGAACGTGAAAGACCCGTTCAGTTTGACTGGCGGGGCACTCCAAGAGCCCAGAGCCCTAACCTGTGTAGACCCTAAACCCCTAAACCCTATAAGCCCCTAAACCCCTTAACCCTAATCATCCCTCAACCCTTAACCCTTCATCCCTAAATCTTCTACTACACCCTTAAACCCTGTACTCCCTCTCTTCCTACACCCTTAAACCCTTTATTATTGCACCCTTAGACCCTAAAGCCCTAAATCCTAAACCCTAAAGCCCTAAACCCTAAACCCTAAATCCTAAACCCTAAACCCTAAACCCTAAGCCCTAGGCTTAGAGCTCCTCACGAACCTCACCTGCATGCCGCTTCCGGCAAGCCACTGCTTGCCCAGCCCTCAAAAAAATCCCTGGGCCTCCCAGGGTTTCTGTTGGAGTTTAGGGTTTAGAGTTTGGGGTTTTGGGTTTGGGGTTTAGGGTTTGGGGTTTTGGGTTTAGGGTTGAGCTAAGGACTAAATTTAGGGCAGGGGAAACCTATAGGAGCCTATATAGGCTTTTGGGACGGACCTATTAAGGGATATACTACAGATTTAGTCCAGGGCTCACGTGGGGTTTCATAGGGTTCACTAGGATTTAGGGCGCAGGGTTTAGTAGGGCTTTGGGGTTAATAGGCTTCGGGAGGGTTTAGCGTTAAGTAGGGTTTTGGGCTTAATAGGGTTTCGGGCTCAATAAGGTTTAGGGTTGAATAGGGTTTGGGGTGTGGGGTTTAGTACGGTTTTGGGCCTAGGGTTTAATAGGGTTCACAGTTTGGGTGGGGCTTAAGGATTAATAGGGCTTAAGAGGGTGCGGGGCGTAATAGGGTTCTGTGTTTAGGACTTCAGGTGTTTAATAAAGGTTTAGGGTTAACATCGTGTTTAGGTTCAGGGTTCAATGGGGTTTTAGGGTTCAGGGTTCTGCCTGCTTTGGGTTTACCTGTAACCCCACTTACCTACAGCTTGGTAGTAATCACCCGGTTAGTAGTAAGTAAAACCCATAAAGCTGTATGTAGCTGGGGTGACAGGTAGGGCTTAGGGCCGAGGATTCATCCATTGATTGGAGTTTCTTGATTTTCCATGGTTTAGTGTTTAGGGTCTAGGGTTTGGGAGGGTTCATAGATTTGCGGGGCTTAACAGTTTAACTGGTGGTTATGGTTTAGGTAGAGGATAGAGGATTTGGGGTAGCATCCTCAGGATGATGATGTGTGTGTGTGCATGTCGTGCTTATGTCTTAGGATTTCCTTCTCAATGTGATCTTTTCTCGGTTGGCGCAAGCTATCAGGCTAGAAGGTGCCAAATGAGGTGAAGTAAGTAATGTAGGTAGGGTCCTACATGCTTGCATGCTTGCCTGTATGACGTTGACGTCTGTTTGTGAAGTACCCCAGGCTATAGTTGTACAAGGAATCTAGAACCACAATATAGGTAATTGCAAGGCCTCTACATTAGGCAACTATAGTGTTTATCCCCTTCCCCAGAGCTCGTGTAATCCCTACACCCTTCCCAACAAAACCGATAACTACCCAGTATTCAGAATTCAGGCGCAGAACCATGTTACTTGCGCCTACTGACCAGTAGTGGAAGATGTTACAGAGGTTAGTCTGGAGACTACATGAGGATCCTCGCTCTCATTCCTGACAAACAAGAGGCAAGTAGCCAATCCTGGGTCTAGGATAGGTCTTTTCAAGAACGCCCGTAGCCCAGGCTCCAGTTAAGACCCAGGGTGGCCCGCTTAAAGCTTAGCCTGCACATTTTCTAGTAGGAGCCCAACCTTTTTCAATTCTTATCTGGGTTTCTAGGCCCTAAACCCCGAACCCTGCGGCTTCCGCCGTTCAATTCAGAAAGAAGAGATCTTTTGTAACCCTGCAGACTCCAAGCCCAAGTCCGAACACCAATCGGGTTTGGGATTAAGGGTTTATGGATTAGGTGTATGGTTTAGGGAGGATAGTTACCAGAATGTGGATCTATGAATACATCGCATAAGGTAACTGAGTTCAAGTTCCTCAACACCCAGCCAACACTGCAATTCAGGTCGCACATATGGCCATTGGTGAGCACTCATTTCGAGAAGCTCCTGCAGGCAGGTTTAGGGTTTAGGGTATTAGGGTTTAGGGTTTAGGGTTCTCCAGCCTGGCGGCAATAGGATTTTTAGTTTAGGGTTTAGGGTTTCCCCAACCCCTAAACTCTAAAACCCTACCCCCCAAAATGAGAATCCTATGATATGACTATCCCCGCAAAGTGTTTCAAGGCCGTAAAAGGGGCAGATAACCCTAAACCCTATAGGGGTTCTACATGGAGGGAGGGTCGCAAGAGCCCTACTCGAGGGCAGCCACATGAGCTGTATGTAGTCTAAGCTCGCTACGTACACGCAGACGATATAGGGGGTTATATAGGGGACGATTATGGGGGTTCTTAAGGGAGGATACTAGGAGTTTAGACTTTAGACCCACCCTACATCCCAAACCTTAGGGTTATTAAGGGGGATACTTGGAGTGTTAGATTATAGCTCACATAACCTTGTTTGGGGGATCCTTACGTCGATGTAAAGAGGGGATTTCCATCCACCCAATATATAACCCCCCGTTAAAAAAGGGTGTCCCGGATTCTGCGGTGACCCTAAGTATCCCTACATGCCCTCTCTCTCTCTCTCTCTCTCTCTCTCTACATATATATATATATATCCTTACATGTACAAACACATATTACATATGTATATACACTTACCTACATGCTCTATATATAAATATACACCCACCCTTTATAGGCCCCTTCATGTCCTTTGCAGTACGTCATCGCGGGCAACGGGCTGTCGGAGATGCAATTCATCGAGAGGCTCATCGTCAACACGTTGAGGCCACGCTGCCGTGCTTGCTATCGTTTAGGGTTTGGGGTTGTAGGGTTTGGGGTTTAGGGTTGAAGGGTTTACGGTTTAGGGTTTGGGGTTAGGGTCTAGGGAAGCATCTATACCCAAGCATGTAAATATTCAGGTAGGGCGTTGTATAATGTAATGGTTTTAGAAGGTTCTAGGTGCCTATAGTTGCGTTTGTCGGGTTCCCAGTGCTGATGTCTCTGGGTGCTAGTTGAGTAGCATCTTCTCTGCACCTGAACCCAATATCAGATTAAACTTGAACATAATCGATGTATAGTACTTCGGTTCCAAAAATTGTTCATTGCAGACCTCTTCTGTTGCTATAGTTACATTGGCTGTTGTGGCAGCGCAGGGCCTCCAGGAGAGGGACTTGCCAAAATCGGTGTCTACATTGATTTAGGCCGAAAAGCCTCTTCTGATAACAAGGCCTAGTTACCAGGCCTGTCATGACTAGCTTAAATCTCAGGTGCTGCAGGGTGTTCATGAAATCTTTGTATAATCAGTGTGAAATCCAGAAGAGGTCTTTCTTCAATGTCCATGCAGGCCCCTTTGAACTCAGCGCACTCCTGAAGCCCGAATCCCTAACCATGCCCCAGCGCTGGGTTAGGGTGGTGCATGGGAGAATGGATAATAGGGACTTTTATGGAGTCGAAGCATATAGGGCTAGGGACTACTATAGGGACTGTTCGGGGGAAGTATGTAGGAACTACTAATATCCATTCCCTCTTTCCCTGCTGACCACACCTTTCCAGGCTATGCATTCGCCTGATCGGCAACACTGAGCTGGTCCCAACGCTGCTGCTCCTCACCCAGCCGCTTGGCAAGTTACTTTACTATAGTCCTATTACATCAATTTGCTATTGCTATTACCATGGCCTTTGCGGTTGCGGTTACCACTACTACTCTTAATATAGTCCATTACTAGTACTACTAGTACTACTACTGCTGTTTCTGCTGCCTTGAGTGTTACTGCTGCTCCGACCCTTATCACAAAAAAAACCAACATTGTAATTGCCATTACCACTACGGCGGTGAATGGAACAAATCCTGCCCCGCCCTGGCCGCCCAAGTCCTGAAATTACAATATTTCAGGGGCCTTGGGTGGCTTTTACTCTTATTGTTGCTGTCATTTTGACCAGTACTATCATGACCATTGCCATTAACTGGTAGTGTGATAGCACGGGGAGGATGATTCTCATCCTGGAGGTCGAGTCCGGAACTGGAGGCTAAAAGTCTGAAGGAACACCCCTCAACCTCAGTATCCTACAAAATCTTAGCATCTTACACAATCCTTGCAAAGTTTGTTGTGATATGTAAGAGATCCCGGCCCTTCAGGCATTTGTCCAGACTGCCCGCCCAGCATTTCGCCGCTCATGCGGAGAGGATCGGTGCAAGCTGCTCCAGGGCGGCGTTCGGGTGGTGTCTTAACATTCACTAGCCACCTCCCCCGCATGATAAATGCTCCCAATATAGGACTCATGTATGGAAAGGGTAGTTTTTATTTGTTATTAGAGGTAGGATTAGTATTCAGGGAGAGGATTACTTCGTGCTAATTAGGATTTCTCCTCCTAAGCCTGACCCAGCATCACCAGGCACCTCCACCCAACCCACAAAGTAACTGGGTGCAGCTACTTGCGGTCGGAGGAACTTCCTGAAACGTGCAGCCTACCCAAAAATGCCTGTTGTGTGTGGCGGTTGTTACAGTATGAGGATCCTGTCGAACTCTGGGGTTATATTGCCCCGAGAGTGGAGTATCAGATGGAACAGAACATGGAAAATGAGGTGGATCCTGGGATTATGTAACGGGCATACAGGGATATGGAGGTGATAGGCTTTCAAATTATGAACCCTTGCGAATGCGGCCCCGAATATTCGGATTCGGGGTGCCCCGAAACGAGGACCGTAACTTGGACGACTCCTCTAAACCCTAAACCATTCGCATCCGTATCACCTTGAGCACTTGACCCCACTGACCCCACACATATGAGGGTTTCGCACAATGAGCAGTACTTTTTTGGGATCCTTATAATAAGGTTTGGGGTTTGGGGTAGAGTAGTTTGGGGTCTGTATGGGCTTTCCCTATTTTAGGGAAACCACCAACAAGACCCGCTCGTCCAACCGTACCCATTTCATCCAATTCATCCTATGTAGTACCTTGGAAAGTGCAGTTCGAACCTCATTTCTTCAAACAGAAGTAGCCTCCTCCCCCTCAAAAAAAATCGCCTAATAGTGGGTACTCCCTCCCATTATATGATCGTAGCATACTGGTGAAGGGGATTGCTGTTCCCGACATGAAGTACAGGGGGCGCCCATGGGTACACTTTTAACATTGTAGGTAGGCAATGAAGAAGTGGATCCCCGTAGTAACTTCCCCAATGTAATAGTCCTGAACCCTAAGTCCTTACTCCCGAAGCTCTACACTCCCAAACCATAAACAGTAGTTACCATTTTCTCTTGGATTCCTTCCTTCCGGAAAGCAAGCAGGCGAAGGTTCAGGGTTACTAGTAGTATGGTGGGTTTTGTGTTATCCCCGTAAACTTCAGTTTACATTTCATTTTCCATTGCTGTTCGATTCGGTTTTCCACTCCATAGTATCAAGCCCAAACCCTGTTTTTTTCCAAATAACCCTACGCGACCCTATATATATATATATATAGAGACATAGCTTTAAAGGACCTAATCTACAGGCACCTAAACCCTTAACCCTAAAACCCTCACCCCTAACCCGCTAAAAACCCTAACCCCTACACCCTTAACCCTAAACCCCTAAACCCTGAAATCCCTAAACCCTTACCCTTAACCCTAACCCCTAAACCCTGAAACCCCTAAACCCAAAACCCCTAAAATTCCAAACCCCCAACCCCTAAACCCCAATACCCCTAAACCCCTATATATCCCTAAAACCCCTAAACCCCGGAGGATAGCCTGTGGCACCTTGGTACTCGTCCAGGAGGCAAATCTCCCTCACAGCTGGAAACCCAGAGTTTAGGGGTTTAGGGTTTAGAGTTTAGAGTTTAGGGTTTAGGGTTGAGAGTCTGGGTTTTTAGGATTGTTTAGGGTTTTGGGGTTCGGGGTTTAGGATGGTTTGAGGTTTAGGGTTGAGGGGTTTAGGGTTTAGGGTTTATGGGTCTTAAAGTCTTAGGGTTTAGGGTTTATGGGCTTGGGACTTAGAGTTTGGAGCAGGGTTGATGGGTGCAGGATTTAGGGGTTAGGGTTTTGGTGTATACGATTTGAGGGTTTAGGTGGCTTAGGGGCTACGGGTTAGGAGTTTATGGTTTAGGGCCTTGAGATTTGGGGCTGAGGGTTTATGGCTAGGGCTTGGAGAGGTCTCAGAGAAACTAATCCCCTCCCACTAGTACGAGACCGCCCCACCCACCTAATGATGACATCACATATTCAGGTTAGGTCAATCTCACCTATTGTAGTTGCTCCTTTATGTGGAGTTAATAGGACCTTAATATACCAACAGTAGTCCCTTGCGGTACCCATTACTGGGTGCCGGATTGACCCAATATTCAGGGGGAACATTTGTTGTTTGTGTTGGGGTGAGTATTACGAGTGCGTGGTGAGTAGCAAGGAGACTTGCAGCGCCTATAAGCCTCAGTATGACCGACTTACTAAGTCCCTTACCGTTCAACAAGTTCCTAAGTGAGGAGTGGTTGTTGTTGGGACTCATCAGGCGTTGAGTGAAGATGTATATTCAAACCCTTTCCTTTTTTGTGGGCTGCTACAGACCAATCAAAGGCTGCAGCACATGCATTAAAAGCTCAATCCTGCGGTTTTGCTTCAGGTTGCGGCCAGGTGGTTTCTTATCTCCAGGTGTTTTCTTATCTGTATCTCTCTTTTCCTCTCCCTCCCTCACTCCCTCACTCTCTCTCTCTCACTCTATCTATCTGTATCTCTATCTCTATCTATAATTCTATCAATGTGTATACATATGTATGTATTCTCTCACAGGCTTGCCTTTTACAAGAAGCTAGCCGGGCAGACAGCCGGGCAGGTACAAGTGCATCGCTTCTGCAGGGGTTCTACTGTTTTTTCCGCGGCAATGCCCTGCTTGCGGTGTCGACGCAACAACAACAACAACAACAACAACAACAACAAAAACATGGCAGATAAAGTGAGGAGACATGCTTGTGATAAAGTAGGCGCCCCGATTTAACGCGAGTAGTCCTCAGTAATACTTCATTCCCTACTTTTCAGGTGGTCTCTGCAACATCTTTGCTCTGCGGCGCTGGCTTGCTTTCAAATGACGAGCTTCTGGTGTGGGCTGTGCTCCAGGTCTTCTGCTTAGGTGCTTAGGTATGCTTTGTTTCGAATACCGGCATTTGGAAACTTAGTTCCAGAAAAAAACGGTCACAGGGATACAACCCTAAACCCCATATCCTAAACCCTACATCCTAAACCCTATATCCTGAATCCTAAACCCTAAACCCTAAAATGCCGGCACCTTGAAGGGGGCGTCATTGTACCGTAAAAGGAGCTCTCAACCTGCTCCCTCCCAGGTTGATCTGGTATAAGGTAACAGAGGGGGATTCGGGTTTAGGGTTTAGGGGTTCGGGTTTAGGGTTTAGGGGTAGAATATAGGGGTATAATTTGTAGGGTATATAGGGAGAATGGAAAAGAAATGGAAATTGCTAT